GCTTGAAGTTTGCATTTCTATTTATTTTTAAAAATCAAGATTAAGATACACTTTTTTTTCATATAAATAAAAAATATTTTAAATAAAAATATGGCTTTCTTTTTGTGTTATCAAATATGAGTTTCTAGCTAGGCACGTGCAATTGACAGAATCACACCAAATTATTTTTATTTTATTTTTATGTTTTTTTTATTTTATTTTTTAAAATTATTTAATTGTTTATTTAAAAGAAAATTTTCATTTCCTTACTTTTATTTATCTAAATAGGGGTAACACTTGATACTTTTCTCTCCTTTAAAAGCTCTCCCTCCCTTTTCCTTCAAACGCGAAGATAGGTCTAATTAAAATTGAAAATTTTTTTATTGTTCACTCAACGGCAAAATGATATAAACAAGCCTAAATTATGTTTAGACTCGAAGGGGAATAAACATTTTGGAATCCACCGGAATAACAAGAGAAAATTTTTTCTCCAAATAAATAATTCTTACTCAAAGTATAATATTGAAGACACCTTTGGATTGTAGGCCTCACATTGATTTATATAAGACCTAAACCCTAGTAAAAGCTTAATACCGAAGTAATAAGTCTAAGAAAATAAAAGGAAAATGATATTTAGATATAAGTTTTTTTATATAACTTTACGTATCATTTAAATAATTGATTTTTTATTTATTTAAGACTTTAAATGTTAAATGTATATATTTATTTAATAACATATAAAAATTATATAAAAAAATTCTGTAAAAAAATTATTTTTATATCATTACCCAAAATAAAATCCTAAGCTAATAAATACTTACATTGTAAACTAATACTACTTAGGAAAAGTATTTTAGAATTAAATAATTAACAATAGTTATAGGACCTAAAAGAAAACAAAATCTTTCTGGCATAAAGGCAATTGATCCGGTTCTTCTTAAAAGCTGTGGAACCTTCAATTCTGCTGTCTCAGATAAAAGAAATAGTGGTGTCAGTACTTCGACAAAGGTGTTGGAAATCCGAGGGCAACAAGTCTATGGCGTCCGCCTCATTCTTCCCCACTTAATATAAACTCAACATCGAATTTTATAATGTTTGTAACATGAGAAAGCTTGAGATGACAAAGTAGATCATATCTCAAAATTCTTCTTGAAGCATCGATTTTTCCATTAAGTTCAACAAATTTAAGAGTAAGGATTTTAAGAGAAAGTTGATCTGAGAAAACAAAATCCACATCATATTTAGAGCCATGAATGGAGTCACCCACATCACCTTTAACTTCAGAATATTCTTCATCATGTGGGTGCTTGACTAATTTCAAGTCCTCATCCAAAGCATCATTACCAATCATGTCATCATGTGGACTTTTCTATAAGTTTGTCTTTAACTGTCGACCTTTTGCCCAGCTAAACCCATTTCATCAATCTTAGCTTCCTTGAGTTCACTTTCATTCCTTGGTGCATCCTCAACTTCTATAGACACTCCCTTGGCATCTTCCATCTTATGACAGGCCTTGGTCGATTTGTCCTCACCTTTGTTTTAGTAGATTCTACATGACTCTCAGAACTAGGTCGTAATGCATAATCATAGTTTATGATTGGATATTGTATGCCTCTACGTGTTGCAACAATTGTTGTTGATCATCGATCATAACAATAAGCATCTAAAATTGATTACTACAAGAAAATAATATTTTGTGATGAAAAAATTGATCATAAAAATTTTTATTTTTTGTAACAAATTAAATTTATTTTTAAAATTTAATATGTCGTTATCTGTTATAAATATCGAATTACTAAACCTAATAACAATTAATTTTATAATCATTACAAAAATCATAATTTTAGTGATAAAAAAATAGACACAATATAATATTTTATTTGTAATATCTTATATTTAGTTACACAAAAACAAAATTCTTTAAAGCAACAAAAAAAATCATCACAAATAACTTTGTAACAAAATTTTTAAGTCATTAATAATTTTATCTTTGAATTAAAAAAATAATCCTAAAAATGAATTAACAATTAATATAAAAATAAATGTTTGTTTTATTTTTTAATTTAAAATTTATTATTAATTAATTTATTTATTATAATAACTATTAATTAACTAAAATGTTTACAGGCCAATAGTAAAACTATTTGGTCCAAGTCCAACTCTTCGAGATTTTAAAGTACATTTAATATATTTTAGGTTTTTCTTTATATAAAGTAGTAATAAATTGTATTTTTTATTTTTAAGCAACGTGGGATTATGCATTTCTTTTATATTGAATACTATTAAACTCTATTTTTAATTTTTGGGTAATGTGAGATTCTTTTCATTTCATATTTTCACTTATGCACCAATAGAAAAATTAAAAAAAAAAAACCTATCAAATGAAAACAAAAACTAATTAAATTACATACAAATATCGATTTTAAGTTATGGGCAAGTAAAAGTGAAAAAAAATACATTGTACAGTTGTATTCAAGTTTTTTTTTTTTGGTAAATAAGAAATTTTCTTTATTTATTAAAATATAAAAAATACTCTGCCCATAAATTATTATACGTATTATCTTAACATATATCACAAATATCGATTTTCTTTATTTATTGATGTACTGTTGGAAGGAGTTCATGACATTACCAGCCAAAGTCGAATCCAAACCCCACCACTAAAAGCACAAATTCCACACCTTAGTTGCAATAGTACAGTAAAAAAAATGATGTTTTGAATGTAGTACCCTTATGTAGAGTTAGTAATAGGGGTTTTTTTAATTTATGCTCTAAGTAATTAATGCATCTTTTTGTCATTGAGTTACATAAAAAGAATAAAGTTTGATTTTAATTTTAACAACTAACCAATTAAATTAAGACACCTGACATTGACGTTAAAGCTAATATCAATTTTTTTTTAATTTTTCTATATAAATTAATGATTAAAAAGTATATTAATTACACCTTAAAGATACAAGTTAAAAAAATATTAATAATGGTACAACAATTCAACACTAATATAATTTTGTTTGCAAGGGTATGAGTATTCCTTATAATCTAATCACTTTGTTAATTAATATTTGAATTTTTTTTATGAGGCTAATAAAAGGATAATTTTTTTAAAAATTTACTTAGTCCTAGCATGAATAACTTTGACCAAACTAGAAAGGGATTAATCATGAGGTGAGTGCAAGTTGATCTGAAAATACTCTGACGACTAAATTCAAAACAAAAAAAAAATTATTGTTAACCAAAAAAGTCCCTAATTAAAAATGTGTAAAATATTTAGATTCAATACAAGGAATAAGTAAATATCTTGGGAACAATGGTAATTAGGATATTTGACCAAGTTAGGGGCTTTGAGTTGCCATGATTTTTGTAGTATTGGAAAAATAAAAAATTATTTGGGAATGTAGATCTTGGTAGGACACATTTTTTTGAATTAATTTAGTTAGAAATATTTTAATAAAATTCTTTTTTTTTTATTTGTGGCGATTATTGTAGTCACAAATTTATTTATTTTAGATAAATTCATCGTTTGTTATTATTTTTTTGTGACTAATTATATATTTTGTCATAAAATATAATTGTTACATATAATAAATTTAGTCACAAGTAAAATTTAGTATCAATAACAAAAATTAATCATTTGTAACCTATATTTTACCAATAACTAATAACTATTTTATTATAATGATTTTAACTGTAACAAATTTAAGTGGTTTATTGTGACTAATGTTTTGTGACTAAATATAACTTTTGTGTCAAAATTATATATTATAATTTTAAAAATTAATATTAGTGACTATTATCTCAAAATTAGTTAAAATATAATGATTATTAGTGATCAACTAAAAATCAATAACGAATTTTAGTCACAAAAAGCTCATTGCTTGTAGCGAGGTAAAGTAATGAAATAGGGTACAACCCCTCATATAATTTTCAATTAAAAAGGAAAATCGCACCATAAGAAAAAGCTTTAAAGATAGTTTTTTTTTTTTCACTAGCATTTCATAAAAATGTTGACATTTTTTTAGCCGTCCATAAAATTGTTGGCAGTGAACAGCCAGGTTCTTAATGGACACTATCAACATATAAGAGATAAATTTGCATATAAACAATTATAAAATTATAAAGCTATACCAAACACCATATAATGTGCTAAAAAGGAAGATACTAAAAAAATGAAAGATGAATATTTTTATTATTTTTAAGGGATTGAAAACTCTTGAAACCAAGTTTTATTTTCTATAGACTTAGTTTATTTTTGGCTCAGTTTTCAAGTACTTGGTTTACTCACCAAAATCTCTTAATTTCATGGTATCTCCTTTTTGCACCTTTGGATGCTTGGACAAGTTTTTTTTTTTCAAATAATCTACATTGAGAAGCAGTACATGTACACCAACCAAGATCGCAATAGCACAATGGAGGTGGGCAGTCATTGTCTGATTTGCATCACTCTCGTTGGCAGTACGAAGCCAGAAATTGAAGCTAGGAGGGCGGGAAAGGTTAAAACCTTTTTTATGAGTTATTTATTAGTTTATATTAATATAATTTAAACTAATTTTTATATCGGTCACTTATTTTAAGTATGTATTACTTATTTACATATGCAAAATTTTAAATTAAGTGGATATATTTAGTTATTTTTTAAAAGATATATATTTTAAAATTCTTAAATAAATAGTATAAAAATATAGTTTATTTTTTAAAATGGTTTCCTATATCAAAACAATTTGAAATTTAAAATGTATGATTTATATAAATAAAATAAATTCAACTATTATTTACTGAGTATATAAATTGTACAAAAAAATTATATATAACTAATGTAAAAACTTATATAAATTGTATTAATATAATTAATTATATCTTGACTATTTTTTAATAATCATTGTTACCTAAACTAAATTATCATATCTTAAAAACTAATCACAAAGAGAGAAATAATTCCTTTACCTAAATCCTAAATATATTTTTTTTATATTTGAAATAGTTCCAATAATTCAAAACCTCAAAAAACAAAATTTTGTAAAAAAAAAAAAATTAATGTACCATATTTGAATATTTTCAAACGCTTAGGGGGTAGCTGCCCCCCCCCCCCCCCTTTCCTACATTGGCTCCCTCCATGCTTATTGGGCTTCTATTATAGTGTATAGGCCTATCATCAAAGTAGGTAATTCTATTTTGTATTTGTCGATATGATTGGTATATATAAATTTTTTAACAAAATCAAAACGAAATAAATTTAAAATTTGTTTTGGTTAAATTTTGGTGTATCAATTAGTATTTTATGTACCAACCAATATATCGAAATTAAACAACTATAATTCAAATCTTTAAAAAAAGGCAAAAAAGCAAATCAGCTCATGTACTCAGTGAATGGTGGCAAATTAGCCCCTCAACTAAAAATAGACACAAATCAACCCCTTAAGTCATTGTACGGCTACAAATCAACCTTTTTTTGCACGACATATATTAGACACTTGTCAATTCGTAACGAAAAAATGCTTTTGGTGGGATCGATTGTTTATATGACAATAAGGTGGCATTTTTTATCCTACATCAGTGCTAAATTGGTACTAAATTAGTAATTTATATTAAGATTTTTTTCTTAGACATTTTGGTATGCACTAGAAGAACAAGAGAAAATCTTTGTCCGAAGAAATTATTCTTATTTCAAAATGTTATATTCGGAAGCTTCCTTTGGTCGTGAGCCTTACATTGATTTATAGAAAACATAAAATTTAATAGGAAAGTAAAATAAGCCTGAAGAAAATAAAATCCTAAACTAATAAATATTTACACGGCAAACTAAAATTGGCCAATTATATATCTTGAAAACAAATAACCAACGACTTGAATAATTTAGTGATAAATTTTTTTTATTAAAAATAAAAAATTTTGAGTTTGAATCATATGACATGCGAATGGAGTGAAATAAAAAATGAGAAAATATTAACTCTTGTTGTGCAACTAATATAAAAAAAAAATGATACCTAACACTCTCAGCCACAAGTGTTGGAACTCCAAGAGCAGCAAGCCTTCGGCGTCCGCAACAATTTTCCTTGAGCGGGTATAACGGCCCAAATAGAAAAGTAAAAATCCTATCATTAAAGCCCATGAAAATAGCAACAAACAAGTAATAATTAATCTTCTTCGAGTTAAAGCAAAAACTCTTGATATTAAGTTGGAAACATGTGAGGATGAGAATATTGCTTATCGTTGTATAACTAAAAATTAAAAATTAGAAGAGATACCCTTTTAATTGCCCCTTAATACCATATTAAGTTCTCCCTAGTCTATGCACTTTGATTAGAAAATCACTTTAATGCAAATCAATTGTCTTATGGGATCAGGGTATAGAACTATTGATATAAAACTGTCTGATTTATTTTGTTTTGCAGTTTTTTCATTCTTCTTTGAGAGTTTGCATTAAGATAAAAAAGATGGGGATAATGAAACAGTAACATTGTACTTGGATTAATTAACTTTTATATATCTATAGTTAATAAATTTTCATTTATAAATTTGTACAATGGAAAAGATGGGGGGAAAATAGAAAGGAAACTTATGAAGAACATCATTATAGAAGTTTCCTTCTTACGCTTATTACATTCAAAACTTCACATAAACTATACATGTAATTCTTCAACACTAGAAAATCCTATTCATCAAGCTTTTCCGTTTCTGCCAATAAAAAGCTAGGTCTGATTCTTGCAAGCCTCAAGTTTTATGGATTTTGCTAGTGGTGAAGGAATCAATATCATTTGTGGGGTAATTTTCATACAGAACATCCCAAGCCTCTAGCTTCTGATCCTTTCATGATCCTCAGCCTCTTGCAGGAACTTATGAACATACTGCAGTGTCAAAAAT